CTTGTGTGTCTATCCGTTTGTTTCGAAAACCACTCAATTTCAATGAAGCATGACAATGGGGAATTTTACTAACATCTATTGACCAATTCTGATTTGGGTTAAACTTGGACAACAGCGATCACTATATCAAGATTTTCCTCTGCGAGTCATAGAAGGCGCAGGTCTAGAAAACTGAAATTATTGACTGTGGGGATTCGTTGCGCTGACCACGCGACACCCTCTATCCGCTAAAGTTGGCACTAACTTCGCCGACAAGCGGCGGTCGCTCGGTCGGTATAGTTCGCTTACGGACTCGAGCCACGGAGTATTTTTTTGGTTCGTCATAGAAGGCGACGAAAAGGGAACCAATTTCCTGAGGCTGTAAGTGGGCCATCCTGTCACTGAGGGACATAAATACAGTGACCTGGGCATCCAGATGGTGGTTGAACTCAAGGCTGACGACCTTGCTCTATTAAAAAATAAATGTTGCAAAATCTAAAAAATTGAAAATTGGATGCAATCTGGATGATGATGATATCAAGATGTACATACATTGTAAAATGTATTCCGGACTTGTAGAACATTATTAAATATACGTAACATGTCATTTTTTTCGTGAAAAGGAAAGTTCTCCGTACATTTTAAACCTAAACTTCAAAACTGAACTTCAAATTGCGTGTGAAAAATCGCGGGATTCTTGCGCTTGAATGAGGTTTACAACAAGTCATTGCGTTAACATTTATACCATACCGAACAGCAAAGATGCAAAATTACAGTCATCGATTTTTATGTTCGGATTCCTTCTATTATATTTCTTAATAAGCAGTAACCAACCCGATGCCCAGTTCCAACATGTTTCTAAAATTGTATACTACCCCGAAAACGCCCTAGAAGGGTGAAAACTTCTCCGACGTACGTTTAATGGGTAAATTCTAAACGCAGGAGTTCATGTTCATGACGATCGTGGTCGTTGGACGTGACGCCGTGTAGTTTGGTATATATCCTTCATTTTCAGAATAAAAGGGCGACTCTTTTACCTTGAAGTTGGAGGCAGTTGTAGGGATGAAGATTAAGGTAGGCCGCACACCGGCATGCGTCAAGACACGATGTCTGTGACATGACGCAAAGAAAGGAGCACAGTTGAAACGAATTAGATTATGAAAACCGCCGCACACCGGTCTGAGTCATGATGCTGACGTCAGCTTCATGCTGACGAATCATGAATGAAGCAAGACTGTGTATTTTGTCTCATGTCCTGATGCTTGTCTTGATGCAGTTGGTGTGCGGCCGCCCTAAAGCTTCACCTGGAAACTTGGGACAATGTACGAACGAACAATGATAGTGGCGTCACTGTCGTCAAAGGAAAAGGTAAACAGCATTATGTAATCAATTTCAAATTATGTTCCACACAAGGTATTCATTAAACCCTGATTACAAATTTACGTTTCTTAAATTTTATACAGTCGAAAGTTGCCATGGAGAAATACTTGCTATATTTAAGCTCTTTTCCCCTTCACGATCACTTTTGGGTTCCTTTTATTCTTCGTTGAGCTAAGCGCTATAAAATAAATACATAATATTGAGATCCTGTCTGTCTGTCTGTCTGTACGTCTTCATGTCACTTCTCGGATTTAAACGAGATTTAGTTTTGAAGGTCTACACTAAATGTATCGCCATGGGGTTTACGCAGCCTCTAACAGAAATGAGTACTAGGAATTAATTAAATAATTTTCCTGGGAAGTAAAGCGCGGCCGGTGCGTAAGGCTGACAACCTTACTGCCATCTGTGAGCCGATTGTCTAGATAATGTGGGAGTGTCAGCGTCTCACAACACTAAGGGCCTTCACGGCCTGGTACAGGGATAGCTTTACCTTTACCTTTTTTTTTGCTTACACTAAATGTATCGAAAGAATTTAATTTTAGTTCATGTTGACCAAACATAAAACACAGAATTTTACACGAAGGTCAAATAAGATAAGCTATGTTCACACGTAGTTCCTCTTGATAAATAGGTCATTTAAGGTTACTTGGCATCAAGTGACAAATTATGGGGAGGGATGTGGTAAATGCATGATTTTATTTCGAGGTACCATCTCTGAATTACGTGGATGGAACTGCCGCTTGTCGGCGAAGTTAGTGCCAACTTTTGCAGATATAGGGTGTCGCGTGCTCAGCACAACGAATCCCCACGGCCGTTAATTTTCGGTTTTCTAGACCGGAGCCGCTGTTTCCTTGAAATAGCTCCTCAGTTATCCCCACGAGGCTGAGTTGACCCCGCTCCAGACCCACTAATTCTCAGAAAAAAATCTGGTAGCGCCGGGAATCGAACCTGGGGCCTCTGGATATGTAGCCAGGAACTCTGCCCACTAGATCACAGAGGCGTTCTTTGAAACATTAAGATTGTCCTAAATTACACACTAACAAAATCTGTTCGCGGAAGGAAGAAGACGAAAGAAAATCAAGTATGTTCGGAGGCGGGCCTCCAGATTCGGCACTCTAGCAGTGAGATAGGGATCATCATAAAGTTGCCTAGCAGGAAGAGCCGACGAAGTACATCAGTAATTACGTGCTGACTTCGGTTGCAAGGGTCGGGGACAGTCAACAACCTCGCGGGCGGTCGGCGAACACCGCACACTTCGGTGTACGGTGTGTGGCAGTTTCATATTTCATAAGATCGCAGCCAGAGAAACAATAACATCTGCGCCCACCAATATGATCTATGCAATGAATTCCACAGCTGATTACATATAGACGCACCCTAAAGTTGCTCCCTACATGTTGTCGGAAACTGTTTGGTATCATGCACTTAGACCTATATAATAACAGTGAAGTAGTTGTAAGATTTGAGGCTTTCACGGCGGTGACTATGAAGAAAGCAGTCTCCTGGGATTTGGCACCTTGTATATGTGGTGTTAACCGACGTTTCGGAGGAACGTATCGCCTCCATCTTTAGGGTAGAAGGAAAAATATAAGAAATCCGCAAGCGAAGAGACCGTGAGAACCGGTAAAAGCAGACTGCTTGCGGATTTCTTATATTTTTCCTTCTACCCTGAAGATGGAGGCGATACGTTCCTCCGAAACGTCGGTTAACACCACATATACACGGTGCCAAATCCCAGAAGACTGCTTTCTTCAGTGAAGTAGTTGTTTGCATTTGAGAAACAAGACAAGGCGGTGTAAGAGAAGCGTATCCAATATGGGATACAGGTCATCAAAGCACAAGAACGTGAAAGTATGGTTAATAAATCCACAAATCATGATGCAGTACACCAGTATGTAGGTTAGAAACCAATATTAATATTATTATTATTAGCTAATTCCTGTTGCTCCCTCTGGGCCATGGGGCATCCGTGAAACACTGTTCCACTTCAGTTTCTTTAATCTTACAGGCAGTCGGTAGGACCCCTTGGACGGGAATCAGCCCGTCACAAGGCTGCTACCTACACAGGACAACATAAAACAGAATAAACCCCTACACAGACATCCATACCTAGAGTTGGATTCAAACCAACGATCCCAGTGTTTGAGCGTGCGAAGACATTTCATGCCATAGGCAGCGTGGGCACTATGATCGGCGGAAGCCAATATGCCCATATGCAATTTTAACAAGTTTATCAAAATTAAAAAATAATCAAAGATTTCATTATATTTAGCATTTTAATATAAAGTGCTAGGAAGATTTTTGAGCGAAGACAAGAGGAATTCTTAGGTTATAGAAGAAAGAGGGTGAAGTATACTGCTGTTGTCTGCAAATGCAATGAAGCATGAAGATTTCTGTCTGGTGAAAGTCAACTGGCGTTTTGGAGGCACATGTCGCTTCCATCTTCAGGTTTGATGAGTCAATTAAGTAAGAAACCAGCATGAGACAGGCTTGCTGTATGCTTCCTCATCACTCTTCAACACTGAAGACGGAAGTAACATGTTCCTCTGAAACTCAGGTTGACCTTCACTGGGCTACACAGTACTATATCCCCAAAGACAACTCCTTATAACTATGTTGTTAGAATATTATATTTCAGCATCCTGTTACACTCACACAATATATATCTTCTTAAGTGCAACAAATTTTATTGTAGTTTTTACTTCTTTTCCTCCTCCACACTACATGTTTCGGCCCTAAATGGCCATCATCAGGTGTCTATCACTCACGTAGCCGTTACACTGCTTGTTAAAATTTAAAACATGTAGTGTGGAGGA